AGAGAGAGAGAGAGAGAGAGAGAGAGAGAGAAAAATTAATATACCTAAAAGGGGGTCATAAAAGAGTTGCTATTAATAATCAGAGAGTTCTTTTAATTTTGGGCGACAATCAGTCCTAACCCTATGTATGGGTTCAACAATAGTGAAGCCATAAACTGTGAAATGGAAACTAAAATAGATTTCATGTTCTGAAAAAGCACTCCAGAAAGTGACCCAAACTAGTGGTCACAAACACTACATATACTTTACACACTTTACACACAACTGTCCATTCAATGCATTCACTGTCAATGTGTGCATCAATTACACGACCACTCAATTATTGATCCAATTGTTTATTTTGTTTATTTAAGTTTTGAAATTTGTTTAGTTTTAATAGTAGTTATGATTTAAGACCAATTGTGTGGCAATCGGTGTCTTTTATGGCCCATTTCGATGTCGGGTCTCATAACGAGACCACCGGTGGACACATTGATGGACACATGAATGGACACTGTGTTGAAGAATGGGTTGTGAAGAAGAGACCCAGACTTGCCATTAGAAACAGTGATGAGCTGTCGTTCAATCAAATACAACAGTTATTAAGCAATTGTTTCATTCATTGTCTGCAACCTATCGATGGTCTTATAGAAAGCGCTCATCAATTATCACTTACAGTAGATCCGCATCCCTTCACACCACACACTACTCGACCGCATCATCGCATCCAAAGTGACCACAAGAAGAGAAAGAAGAAGAAGAAAGTTCACTATACGTTGCTTTCGTGTAACGCCATTGAAGCCATTCGTGACGTTAAGCTTAACAATGAGTCTAAACTCTTGTTTCGCATCAACTATAAGGGTTATGGAGAAAATGTGAACTCATGGCAGACATCCCACAATCTCATTGACTGTGACTCTCATTATCAACACTATTATAGCAAACAGTTTGCCGGAGAAGTGATTGATTACGGTATGAATGACTTCTATAGGTTTGCCATTTGTCTGTCGAAAACAGTGGGCGACGACTCCGACACCGCTGTTGTCCTTAAACTCAATGACATTACTATTAAAGACTTTAACCGAACGGACAAACAATTACAGCAATTAAAGCATAATATCAGCCGTTATTTCAAAGCATTGAAAGCAATGCATAGAGAAATGGAAACTATTGAGAAGAGCCGAAGAAGTGATGACCACTTTTGGCCGCAAAAGATATTAATCCAGTATTTGGTGCGCGAAATGAAGATTGAGACCAATTTCGGTGGTTTGAGACAATTCTTCGCATTCGTTAAGAAACGCAAAAAAGTGGTCAAAAAGTTGAAGCGATGGGAGAAACGGATTAACAAACAATTGTCTCACAACGGCTTCCCTGACGATAGGATTAGTGTCGAGAATAACGTGGATCTCGAGATTCTGCCAGAAATACGATACTTAAGTGAATACAGAATACACCCGAAGGTTAAGCTCGACAACAGGTGTCGAGTGAAAGCCGTCGGCTGTAAGTGTAGTGACAATCATTGCATTGCGAATAAGCGGTGCGATTGCGATCACAATCCGCACAATGATTACGGGCTTCAGTCGAGACAATGGTATGCGATGTATGAGTGCAACGATCGGTGCAACTGTTCCCACGACTGTCCCAATCGTTGTGTGCAAAAGGGCTCAATTGGCACAGATTTGGTGATATTCCGGACGAGTGGTAAGGGTTGGGGAGTAATGACCCGAAAAGCGATTCCTCGCCACTCGTTTGTAACGCAATATTTGGGTGAAGTTATCGATTCATTACGAATCGGTAAAAGGGTTTTCACATATTTCTTCAATATTGACGCCGAGTTTTGCGGTCAACACCTCTTCATTGACGCCGAATACTTCGCAAACATCGCCCGATTCGTGAACCACTCGTGTGAACCCAATTTAGACACTTATGTTGTCGTCTTCGAGACCGAGCCGTCGGTTCCGCGAATCGGTTTCTTCGCCAACCGAGACATCAAAGAGTTTGAGGAATTGACTTACGATTACAACTTCCAAATACTCTCCATTGATAGCAACGGGTCTTACGTAAGGAAAACCAATTGCGATGAAAATGTTTCGGACAACGGATACACGCCTTTCACCGCAACGGGTCGTGAATGCGGTCCGCAATCGGCCGACGACTTGACCGTCAGATGTCTTTGCGGAGCGAAAAAGTGTCGGCAATTTATTTTGAAATGAATTTTTAGCTATTTTTAAAACATTTTAAAACATTTTATTGAGATTTTTACATTCAAATGAAATGAATATTTTATAATCAAGACTTTTAATGAAATTAATGAACAATTAAGCAAATATTTATATATAATAAAAACACAGATATAATGTTATTAAAATTAAACGTTTTATATATTTTGATTTAATTAATTTGGCAATAAAAATTAATATTAGTTCTTGAAATCATTTTTAAAAATTGTTAAATATAAACACATTCATTGCATATACAGTATGTTATACTGGATTACACACAATCAACTTTATTATAATGATATTTTAAAAACATATTTAAAACATATTCATAATTTAAAATTTATAAATTGCGAATAATTTATCGTTTGAATTAAATTATATAAACTTAAATCAAATCATTTTCATTTTACATTATAATTAATTAAATATATTTAGACAATAAAAATATATTGATTTCTAATTGCTGTCAACAAATAACATAAACTATCATGATTGATAAATTAAAATTCTTGATCAGAATCAGAGTTATCAGGATCTTCTTTCAAATGTTGAATAAGTTGTTGTAGTAATTGTTGATCCAATTCTGGTTCAACCTCGAAGTCCAACATATACTCAGACTGTTCGCCAAACACATTGTGGTCATCTTTATGGTTACCATCATTTAGTCGGTCCTGAACTGTAAACCCAAATACATGGCCAATATTAAGCAAAAGTACAAGCATGATCAATTTTGTGGTATTCATATCGCTAAAACTTTTGATACAAACAAATAGTTGAGTAAATTGTGAATGAATGAGACAATTGTTGAATTAATTACTGCCTTATATTGTCTGATGATTACAATAGAAATGGTTTTTGATTTCAGTTGTAATTTTATATTTAAATTAAATATGAATCAAACATATTTAATGTGATTTAAATTTACGTAAACATGTATCACATTTTTGTATTGGCTTTTGTTATGTGACATAACTTATACCTCTTAACCACGTCTTCGGTTATTTGATATTTGTATTTAAATTTGAATATTTCTCAAGAAATGTTAACACAGTTTATATAATTTCGCATTTACTTTATTTTTTGTTAGTATTTTATATTTCATATTAAATATTAATTTACATATGATTTGTTATATTATATATTGTATTCATAATATTACTGTATTATAAATTAATGATAAATATATAAATAATTGAAATGTCTCTAATTTAATAAATCAGTTAAAATTGTTAAATTAAAAACTAAATACAATTAAATTAATTATTACACATAATTAATTTATAAGATATAAGATTAAAAATAATTAATTAAAGCATTTATAACATTATAACGGCATAAATAATTTCACTGAATTTTAATATAAATAATTATTTATACAATAATAGGATATATTTTATAATTATCAACAATTTGTATTAAAAACGCTTATTTTATGTTATAATTAAATATTTAATGCAATAAATAAATTAATATTTCAAATATTTCATAGAAAGTAATGTTTTAATACACTTTATAAGCAATTATATCAGACATTAGACTCGATCTAATAAAATAAAACATTAATTACAGATAATAATAAATATATTTATATAAACCAATAAAACGTAACAATTGTTTTAAAACATTAAAACATAGATTAGAAATGTTTTTTAATTGAATAATCATATTATTTACATATCGTTTGTCCCATAAATATAAAAATGTTTAATACATTAAAACCCAATTTGAAATTCTTATGAATACATGTCTTATACATACAGTAAAGTATAGCAAAAACTCGCAGAATATTCATAAACAATAAAACTTATGCTAAATTTATTTTTCTCAAACACTGTTTCAATTTATCGACGACTAGAAAACAACTTCGCGTTAAATGAAAAACAAAACTAAAAATAACATTCAGTTTATATCCAGAATCTTTCGCAAACAGTGAAATTGTTTGTTAATAGATATAAATTCCTGACAATTAAATGTCTACGTGAGTACAATACCCCCTATCATCGCTTTTATACACATTTACATATACAGTATATGTAATGACCAATGAATTAGTCTTCGTATCGTTGATCCAAAAAACACCGGCAAATGAGTGAAGTGGGAAGCGATCAAACGTTTTGCTCGGTTTCGCTGTTATTGTGTTTGTCTTTGGAGTTCTTGAGGGGACAGACACTGAGGAGAGTGTTGTGTCGGACAGAGTTGTGCGACAAATGCATTGTAGAGCTCAGACCGGAGGCGTACTGAGCGGCCGCTCGGGTTCGCTGAGTATTGCGGTTCTCACTCTCACACGTCAGCATACGCTTGAATGCACGCCGGAATTTAATTGAACATGCTGAGTAGATGATCGGGTTGATTGCACTAATTCATACCAGGGTAAATGTGTTATTCATTTGATCATGGTCAATTATTATTACATAGTAATATGAAATAGTGTCAATTACTTACCTATTAACAAAAATCATAGTCTTGGCGAACATTAAATACCTATAAATAAAATGCAAATATTTTTAATAATTATATTTATATTAGTTTATTGTTGTAAAACTCTTACCAGAGCTCCATATATACGGGTTCGGCGAATGAATTATAGACTAATAATGCTCTATAGGGTAACCTGGATAACAATAATGATCACTTTTGTTAATTACAATACATGTAGTGGGAGTACAAAATAAATGGTTATGTAATATAAAAGGGATATATTGTATACCAAAGGGTTGCGAACACCGCCACCACAACGACCAGCATTTTGACAACCTTTTCATAGGAATAAACAATAAAAATTCATATTAATATTAATCATTATCTTGATTAATCTTGATCAATAGATCAAACAATATATCATATTATCACATAATCCACTCTTTAAGTATGAATTCTGACCATAAATAATGATATATTTATACAAAACAACATTATTTTGTCACTTGAGTTACGCGAATGAAGAAATACTTTTTCATAATTTTCATATATAAAAGCTTTTCTGAGATATAAAAAATATTGTCTAAAATTACAAAAATGTATTACAATATTTCACATCTCATTGTTATTTTTGTTCACTATTTTATTAATAAAATTATAGTAAAATGTGAGGAGAAATAACTAAATTTACCAGAATTAGGTCTAACTATAAAACTAATAATAACAATACTTTTGTCCTTATGGTTGAATTCTTTCTCCCTCTCTCTCTCTCTCTCTCTCTCTCTCTCTCGCTCTCTTTGTCACATAATATTTTACACTATATTTAAAATTTTCAGAGAAAATAACTCACGAATGAAAACACAATGTCTTTTGAATTACATTTTAAATATAATAACTCATGTATTAAAATAGGATTTTAACGATTCTTTAAAATATTTTTAGTATTCATAAAATTCTGTGCGATTTCCCAACATATAAGATAATATCAAATATGTTGTGAAATAATTTTATGAAGTGTTATTGAAATTAATTTAGCACACGATTAGGAATTAAATAATATTTAAAAACATTCATTTTTAAATGTACAACACCATAATCAATTATTTTGTAATTGTGTTAAAAACCAAAATGATTCATAAAATTAATAAAGAATTTCAACGAAAACATGTAATTAAAATTATATAAAATGTAATTCTTGGAGATTATAAAAGTTTTATCTAAAGTAGTAATTATAAAGATTAATTTATAGCATAATCAAAAATTTTAAACATAAAATACAATACATCTAATTATTAATTAAATGCAATAATATTAAAAATAAAATATCATCTCAATTAATTACAAAATACTAAAACTTTTAACAAATAAAACTAATTTGATGGATTAAAATATAATTTAATTCTAATGAGGTTGTTACCCCTAACCTTGTTGATTTAAAACTACAATAATTAATTGCAAGAGGGTGTAAAATAATCCAGATGAATTAATTAACAAAAATATTGCAAATCATAATAACTTATAAGACATTTTACTTTTGTTTGTCAGACAAAACTTTGAAAAACTTTATTTATCCGTTTGTTTAGAGACTGAAATTTGTCGATAGTTTATAGACTTATATCTCAAACCCTTTATCTTTCGTCGAAAGAGTTAATGGAATGGAAAAAGTGTCTCTTCTTTGCCATTCATTTCAGATATTTTCGATGCAATCAACAAAACATCAACAAAAAACTCGTTTGTCTTTTCTCTCATAGATTTCCCCCATTTGTCTCTTATATGACGTAAAATATTTATAATACCTTTCAATACACGTACACATCGGGTATCGGATAAAGACTGAGTGAGTGAGTGAGAGAGAGAGAGAGAGAGAGAGAG